CATCGCGATCTGGGGTTAAGAAACGCACCAAAAGCCAGAAAAGAACCCTGACAACTGCAGAGTCATGGTCACAATTTCTCACTGTTCCACGCACCAATCAAGAACCTCCGTCCTTGGAGGTGGTGGCAGCCAAGTGCAGGGGCGACACGCCATGCAGGGTCAAGACCTCATCGTACCAGGAAGTGCGTAAGCCCAGTCAGCTCAGCTGACTCAGGAACTGACATGAGCGAAACGCGTACGATCTGCCAAAGCCAGGGCTGGGGCAGGGAGTTTTGGTGTCGCTTTTGATTGATCGAATCTCATGAGGTGTCTAGGTATACAGGATTGCATCATTTTATCCCAAGGACTTCAAGGATTTGGGATGGCATCGATATGAGAAGCAGTCTGCAGTTCCGACCTTTCCGCAACAATGGCAAGAAACATGTGAGAAACATGTGCAACTCCTCCGACTTTTCACCAAAGCACATTGGGATTCGCCTTGCCGTCCAGCAGGAGCTCCACCATCGCGTGCGAACCGCACAAAATGGCAATGTGCAAGGGGCTCAGGGCCGATGGAGATTCCCGGTGAGTCCTCAGTACGGACTGGGAGTAGTGGGAGGATTCTGATAGAGTGTTGAAGCCCTACACCGACCCCGCAAGGTCCACTCAAAACAAAAAAGGCCATTAAAAACAGATGTGCCGCACTAAGCTTTCTGGAGTTTCGCAGTTTCTGGGACTTGCCAAGGCTCCTTTCCACCACTTTGGGTGAATCCCGCACAATCACTTCAGCTGCCTCGACACTGCTCTGTAGGGCAGCAATGTGCAACGGAGTGCAGTGCCTCAAAAAGCTGTCGGTTCCGGACCAAACGAGTCATCTGTCACCTCGCTGTCGCTTCAAAGAAGTGGTGGACCAAAGGATCTTGGGCTTCCGTGATCTTCTTCAGTGTTCTTCTTTTGGTTGTGATGGATGTCTGCTATTCTTTTAGAGGGACATTCACCGTTTTAGGCCCGGCCCAAAAGGATCATGGCACAAAGATGTGTAACAAACGCTTGGGCATGTCGGACTCCAGAAAGTGCTTGTGGTTTCTGCACTAATTTTGTATCCTTCCTTCATGTCAGTGTGTCTAAAATGGAAGAACTCCGCGCATGCAAGTCCATCATCTACTTTCACAACTACTCAGCAGGTTTAAAGAGTCCACCCAGTGAGACATCCCACGAGAAGGAAACAGTATCAACTCTAAGACTCTGTGGGCGCCATGAAGGACTACCAGAACAAAATCCTTTAAGCGTTCAGCAACCACGTGTTGCAAACTTTGCAAACCGCATTGGGAGTTGAGGACTTTTCAGCAACCACCCAGAACCAAAACAGCAAACCTCTCCCAAACATCTTTCCACTTGGCCAAGCGGCAAACGGCCGTGCGGATCACTCCGCAGTAGCGCGAAACATTTGCTGACGATGCTCAGGGTCATCTCTACGGCTGCCTGCGTTGGTGTACACACGTGTTCCATGACACATAGACGCTATCGCCGCTGCCGAATGAAGGAGCATTTCCATCACAACCACAAAGTGTTTAGCGGAGAAGGCAAAGGTTCGTGGCTTTGTCAGCTCTGCTCTTCCGAAATCAAACTGTCTTGAGCGCCTGTTGTGGTTTCCACCTACCGCAAACAGGATCCCCAACGTCCAGTAGTTAGTTACAGTCATATAGTTCTCCCAAAAGTTGCTGTGACCAAATGGCTTAGTCGCTGGGTCTCCACGTCGGTGGCACGGGCCACGAGTGGCCCCCGGCACCGAAAAACGCTGGAAGCCGACGTGGCACGTCGTAAGGCTCGACTCTTCGAGAAAGGACTGCCTTCACCGCAAAGCCTCTTTCAATCCGGCCCAGCCCTGGCACATCCGACATTCGAGGGCCAACCCAGGGGAAGTGCCAGCCGTTTCCCTGTGAGTCACGAATTACTTGGAGAGCGCACTTCCAGGGCCACATGCATGTCAAACGGATGTTGTCAAGGGTGTCTGTTCAGTTCCTTTCAAGAAGTTTTAGTGGGCTTAACAAGTCGTGGTTTTGATAGCCTTCCCATAACGCTCCAGGTTGAATGAACATATAGTTTTGGAGGCAGAGTCTATGTTATGATTACAGTCATTAAATCAAACTCTCCTACAACTGTGGATCAAGGTAGTACGTTGCACCTGTGATTCAACCATCTCCTTCAATCATGCCATGGACCACAACAGCATAGTATCCACCAGCACCGGTCGAACAGAAGGCAGAATCCGATGGCAGGTGAACCAAAAGACAGTAAAAAAAAGAGGGTCCAGGAACCATGATTTCTTCGTGAGTTTCAGACCCCTCTCAATCAGGTGGCTGGTGAGCACAAATCGGTTATGCCTTCCACTCCGAAGCGGTCGTAAAAAAGCTGGTAGATCGCCTGGCCGCGCAAACCGCGCGATGCCCGGATGGGAGGCAATCAAATGGATCGAGAACATCCCACAATGAAGCCAACAAATCTATGTGAATGGAATATTGACCAGGGTAGTCTCAGGGAATGGGTGCCATAGGAGGAATGACACCATCTATAGGACATAACAACAGGCCTGAGGGCTTCTCATGGTTCTGGAGTGGTATATTGTCATTGGTACGTGTAAACATCTTACGGTCCCACTGAAGCACGACATCTCCCCAGTCCCAAGCTGTATTATGCAACCACTTCCAATGCTCCTCTTATATATTTATATAGATTTGTTGGCTTGTCATTCCATATCATTCTTTCTTTTCCATTCTTCTCCTATCGATTGACCCCACAAGTCGTGCACATAAGGCCCGTCCCGACATGAGTGGAGCATTGTGGACTGGACAGTGGGTCACTGTTCAGGTCAGGATTGGGCAGCTTCTGTGTGGACCTGTGGCTGAAGAGTGTCAACAACAGATTGCTACATTATGCTAAATTCATCTATAATCTATATCTGTTCCGTTAAATTCTTGTGGATGCATCACACTATGCAGTTTACCCTCCTTCATGATTGGCGAAACAAGCATTCCTGCAAGAACCAAGTCCTCCACTTCCAACCAACATTAAAAAGAAAACAGGACTGCCGAAAAGAAAGCTGCAAGCTAAGATTCGGGCGGACCAATTGGTCTGCAGCATATACTGCTCGAGCTCCTGACACGCCCACATGATCCCACATGCTAATGAGCCAACTGCATCGTGAATATTGGGCCAGCGGGGCAAATGCATGCATGCTACTAGGCAGTGTGATCACTTGGAACACCATTCGGAAGCGGCAGCAGGGACCGCTCACACTCTGGCCACATGCCAAGTTGATGTCCTTGTTCTCAGCAGTGCTCGAGGCAGGCGGTGAGGAGCAAAGGTTGGCCTTGGTCTGTTCAGTTGGCACCACCCAGCGGGCAGGTAAAAATCGCTGCAACAATGCCAAAGAATTCGGCACTCTCTGTCCATCATATTCGAATGTGAATTAACACAACACCAGGCACCAATTGGTTGTCCTGCACGTTCTCAAGAGTTGTGAGGACATCAACAGCTGGTCCAGGGGTGTCAAGTCCAGCTGCAGTTCCGGGTTTAGAACGACTCTAACTTCTGCCTACACAATGAACATCCAACTACTCACAGACCCCAAGTACTGCATTCCGTGGCTTTCCCAATCTGCCTTTCAATTGAATATTTAAATTCATTTATGCTTGGTGTTTTCAGCCTAATATCTATATATAAACCAAACGCCCATACCGATCTGAAATTTCACCCTCCCACAACCTCCCCCTTCCAACCTCTTCCTGGGTCCTCCTGGCCGCTTTGATTCGCTTTTCTACCCCTGTGTTGAAGCGGACCACCCATCCTGAGAAGGACAAGGAGCAAAACCTACGAAACCAATCAGCTGGGTATTTTACAGATTTTGATAGGGTCTCAATCTGGTTCCAGGAAATCTTGCACTGAAGGTTTTGATGAAGTTTCTGGGTTTATGGGGTCTACCGACCTATGAATCATTGAAGAACCAAAGAGTTGTGGAATAGCCCAACACCCTGGATTACTCGGTTTGCTCGTTCAAAACATAGATGGCTGTGGTGGCTTGGGAAACTGAATGATTGTGTGTGTGTGTGCGTTTTCTTTTCCTTTTTTTTTTCTCTCTCTCTCTCTCTCGATCCTTCCTGTCTATCAGATAACAACCCAAAACGCCACAGAATTTGGTCAGTCCTCACTTGTGCAGGATCCATTTCGGGATGTCCCTGATTCTTGACCACCAATATTGAGTACATCCACAAATATGAATGATCAATCAATCTAAACACATGCTCCTCAATCTAAACACTTGGCTCCGTCTCCGCATCTGATTCACAGTGATTGGCCGGTCTGGTCTCATCGCTTAGCCTCGTCGCCAAGGAGCGTCCAGAAATGGGATCCCATCGCACCACCAGGGCCTGGTGCGTCAACCGCCGTTGACACCGCCTCCCGGTAGGTACCCTGGTAAACCGTATGGTACGGGTGGGTACCCAAAAACGATACTGAAGGTGAAAAAACACCAAATTAACACAATCATGTTTCGGTGTGAGACACATGTCAATGTAGTCGCATGGTATACAATGGCGTTCAGGTCGCTACTGAATCTGACTTCATCAGAATGCGCAAAGCATCACTGCATCATGCATAATTAAACTGGCAAACGTGTGCATGTCTGGTTCCTTCCATGCGAAGGCATGCTAAGATCAAGTGAAGCATCAGGACATTCCTACCTACACAACGGGATCCCCGAATTACAAATTCATCACACGACATCCATGCCGCCATGCCGCCCAACCATGCCGCCCACACTTTTAGACTCGTGTTTTTGCCCAACCATGCCGCTCCCATTGTGCAAATGCTGCAAAAGCCGCTTCTCCCATCGCAGACATGTGGCCATTCTCTTCGGCCAAAACGCTCAATGCACTTGGTGGCCTTCGCCCCAGGAACTTCAGAGCACCACAGAACACCTTCTCATCGGCACACGCTTCTCCTCTGCTCCAGTTGTGTCAGATTTACTGAGATTGGCTCACTAGCCAACATCCCAAAGCAACTGCAATGATGACCAGCCGCAGGTCGACGGCATCACCAGGTGCGTCCGGAGGTTTTCTCCGGAGGGCGGGACGGACATCATCCATGTCAAGGAGCTGAAGCAAGTTGTCTTTCACTCGATCGAGCTCCTGGAGAAATGCTGGTTCTCGACAAGGCAGTGTTCTTTGGTGCATAGTGCCTCTCTGCAGGGATAACAGCAAAAACCGTGCAAAAATGATCAAACACGTTCAATTACACACACAGCAGTCGGGGATGGTCCGGGTGGCATTCCTGACCATTGGTGGGTTTGACCGGGCTCGTGGATGTCCCAGGTTTGGGGTTGGCATGGACCCTGCAGCTCGTGGACCCTGCAGTCTTTGAGTGCCGAATCCCGAAGTCCCATGGAGTTGACTACCTAAAAGGACCCCACAGCTCTGGGTGGAGCAGGTATACAAAGTCAGGGGCATGACCGGGCAATCACTCTCCTGAAGAGAATAGAGGCTGTGACTTGAGAGTACAGCTTCTTCCTCCAAGTTCAGAGTATTGGACTGGTGGTTGCTAGAGATCGTCTGATTGAAAACCTTGAAATCCGCAACTCATACCAAATACCGTATCATGCAATGCCATGTACAGCCATGCGTACCCACATGATCATGCATACGGACATGCCGTATACAGTTTGTGTCTTCGCAAGAACCTTTGTCCCAAGCAACATCAAGTTAAAATCATTCCGGAGGCAGCCAAACCGTCATCCGGTCATCGGATCTCCACAACCAACGGTACTGATTCTCTACACCAGGAACAGTTGGTCTTCTGAAGCTGGGACTTCAGGGTGAGCCATATTGCTGCTCGTGGAACAAAAACTCCAACACCCCCCCTTACTACTAGTAGCTTGTTACTATTAGTAAGGCACCTTGCTACTGTGGCTTCTTGTTACTAGTAGTAAGGCACCTTGCTACACCTTGCTACTAGTAGCTAGAAGTCACACCCACGCAAACATGAAGGCCTTCCAAAAAGAACTTTCCCTCCCAGTGGCTTCGGTCCTGATCGGAGGCATTGGTACCGTCCCAGTCGCACACCAGCAGCCCATTCTCTGGTTGCAACCAGAAGGATTTCGCAGAGTTATCCACCAGCACCACGCGTGTGAGGTCTTCGCGCAGCTTCCTGTTAGGGAATGGCACTTGTGGCAAGCTATTGGGTATCATTGGCGCCGAAGGCTTTAGGGATCTCCGAATGGGATGCTTTCTACCAACAATGGTCCTGTTTACATTGAACACTAAACAATGGAGGTTTTGCTCCTTGTTATCACAACATAACAGAAGCGTTCAAATTTCTAGACTCCCACACAGGTCCCACACTAACATAGCACCCCTGAGGAGGAGGACACTATACAACAGTTTTCTATAGTAAATGGTGGGTCGCTATGTTCTTTGGGGCAGAGTTATATAACTCTTCCAAAGAACCCCAACACTTATGGTTCGCAAGCTCTGCATGGCAGGTTCGCACCGTGATTGTGGTGTCTCGGTGTCTCATGATCTTTCTCCAGCCCGTCCTCAAATCCTTGGTGATGGGAAGGCCGAAAGGCACGCACTCCTCACGGAAGAGTGCTGGACATCCTGCAGGGGCTGCAGTGTTGTGTGGTGTCACGCTGTGCCACATCCAGGGGCTGTCCACTCCCTGCAACTGAAGTGGGATGAAGTGGGCAATGGCCACTGGAAAGGCCATTTCCTCTACAAACTGGCTGTCCACGTACCCATGTTTGCAGGGTAAGGGAACAAACCATGGCAGCCAAACCATTCATTCGGGCCAATGGGGTTGCCGGTCTATTTGACCTGAGGCACTGAAGGTGTTGGGGCGAAATAGAAAATAGCGTCGGTGTCATGTTCTCCCGATGGAACTCATCAAAGACTTCCTTCAGCCACCTCTCCGACCTCTCCTTCCAAGCCCAACTTCTTCAAGGTTTGCTTCGCGTAAGGCTCCGTTCCTGTGGTCGGGTGCAGCGGGACATAGAAACGAAGCGTACAATCGTTCCCAAGCGAAACCAGGGACCGCCACAGGGAGGCCTCCGCCACAGCGCTGAATCGACAAATGTGGTCGATCATGACTTGGTCAGATCCCGTCCTACCCGCTAACTCTGCTCCCTCCTTTCTTCACGGCGATAGAATCATCAGTTGACTCTAATCGTAGGATAGTTCTCAAAAATACCCGGGATACTGTACCATACTGTACACATCTGTACTCCATCTGTCACCTGTATTCTATGTTCAGGGTTGCTTTCTGGAGCATCCCCAAGAATGGATGCACCCACGCTTTGGTCAACGAATCCTGGCCGGTATTGGCCGGTGCTTCGTAGGGAAAATGGAATGACCCCAATCTGTGCACACAATTGTACCACACATACATGCTGAAGGAAGAGTCTGTGCACATACATCTTTGCAGCATCATGCCACCTCACAACGCCACCGGTCCTGCGGTATACACTGCAAGGTCGATGTCCTCTCTGCTCTTCAGCCAGGAGACGAAGTTTAACGCGCCCGGGCGCAATGAGACGAAGAGCGGCACCTGAACTGTTGATCCATCTGATCCGGGTCTGGGGATAGAGTGAAAGTTGGAGGTCTAAGTTTGAAAATACTATTTAGACCTCCACCTAAGGTTCAATTTGGTTAAGGTTCTGAAGGAAGATTCTAGGCAACTCTAGGCTGTCTCATGAACATTCATGAACTACTGTACATTCGGCTGACCTTAGGCCCTAGGTTGTGGATCTATTTTTGTACCAGGCGCGGTTGTTTGGATGGGACGCAAACTTGCAACATCGGCAAAAATCAGCAAAATGACCGTAGATCAAGATTTGAATCTAAACTGGGGACCCGGGGACTCTTCATATGTCTCGAGCATGCACCTCCTCGCCAAGATCTACCACAAGGCCCTTGCCAGTCGCTTCGAAGTCAATCTTGGGCTGCCAAAACCGTGGAGGTAACCAACTCATCGATTCATCTTTGCACAAAGATGCATGCAAAAGAGTCTCATCCAAGTCCAGGACCACCAGCAGTTCTGAGATACCAAAAGAGGCCCAACAACATCTCTTGTGTGTGTGCCCCTTGTAGTCACAGGGATCCACTCGGATTGTTTTTGTTTTCTTTCTAGTTTCTTTTGTTTTTCAGCAGGGCACTGAGCACTCCTTGGCAAACTCAGTGCAACGAAACTATGCCTTGGAGTGGGAAGCACGGACTGATCATCCGTGTGTACCTGCAGCTTTACCGGAACAATTCCTAATTGGCCCCGTTCTTAACTAGAACAAGCTGTCCAGCCTTTGCATCGGTTTGCTCTCGGCAGTCACGCACCGGGCTTTGGTTTTCGACTTGCAAATGTGAGCGGACGACGTCATCTTGTCGATCGATCGTTCGATGGTTTCCTTTAGATTTGATGGCCACGCTGAACTTGCTGGACCTCCACTTCCTTTTCAGGTTTCCTTACCTGTACCCTTAGGAAATGGTAACCTAGGCCGGCGTGTGGCACTGCTTTCAGTTCAGTACGCATAATCATAAGTGTGTAACCTTTGGAGTCACAAGGTTCCTTCTGGATTGCTTCCTTTTTCAGCAGGGGGCATGCGGCCATCGCGCAAACGCATGCCAACGAAGCTATGCGTGATGGTGGAAGCCAGGTCTGACCAACCTGGTGTACCTGCTTTTGAGAGTCGAACCTAAGTAAAGCAAAAGCTGTCCAATACGTTGTTTCTGCACTTAGTGTCTTTGCGATTAAAGGGCTAACGCAGTGGCAAGTCATTTCGGTTTTGCTCTGGAGGCATTGGAGGTTAATTGGCTTCATGCCAGCCCCGGGTGACTCCGCGGAGTGGCCCCTGTGGACCCGTTGAACGGGTGCTAGTCCATTCTTCCCCCTGGCCGGGAACGTAGGTGTCCAAAGCGGACAGCAGGAGGCTTATGCCAAAGTTATTTGCTACGACTTGACGGATTCTTGCATTCCAAGCTGGCTCATGCCGTTACGTGACCGCAGCGGTCAAAGGTGGCAGGCCGTGCGTGGTCGCAGCGACCAAAGCTTGCTCAAGGTTCATTGGAACCTGTCGGGACCTTAGTCCCCTTCCTCCCCCTGCCCTCCGGAGTTTTCCTGAATGTAACACTCAGGTATACCCCTCTCCTTGGTGTGTCCCTGGACGCTTGCGCGTAGCTGGGACTTCTGTGTCCTTGGACGCTTGTGTCGTAGCTGGGAACACCTTCTTTTCCTTTCCTTTCTTCTTTTTCTTTCTTCCCTTCTCTCCCTACCCTCCCTCCTGTCGGGACCTAAGAGTGGCCTCCCCTTGGGGAGGCGTGTGTGTGTGTGTGTGCCCCTTGTAGTCACAGGGATCCACTCGGATTGTCTTTGTTTTCTTTCTAGTTTCTTTTGTTTTTCAGCAGGGGCATACTCAGTGCAACGAAGCTATGCCACGGAGTGGGAAGCACGGACTGATCATCCGATGCGTATTCCTAATTGGTCCCGTTCTTGTCCAGCCTTTGCATCGGTTTGCTCTCGGCAGTCACGCACCGGGCTTTGGTTTTCGACTTGCAAATGTGAGCGGACGACGTCATCTTGTCGATCGATCGTTCGATGGTTTCCTTTAGATTTGATGGCCACGCTGAACTTGCTGGACCTCCACTTCCTTTTCAGGTTTCCTTACCTGTACCCTTAGGAAATGGTAACCTAGGCCGGCGCGTGGCACTGCTTTCAGTTCAGTGCGCATAATCATAAGTGTGTAACCTTTGGAGTCACAAGGTTCCTTCTGGATTGCTTCCTTTTTCAGCAGGGGGCATGCGGCCATCACGCAAAAGCATACCATAAAGCAAAAGCTGTCCAATACGTTGTTTCTGCACTTAGTGTCTTTGCGATTAAAGGGCTAACGCAGCGGCAAGTCATTTCGGTTTTGCTCTGGAGGCATTGGAGGTTTCGTGGGGTCATTCAGTTTTGTAACTCACCTGAACCCTTAGGCACTTGGTTACCTAGGTTGCCGTGTGGCGAGCGGCAGTCGAGTCAGTACGCATAATCTTAAGTGTGGTTGGCTTCATGCCAGCCCCGGGTGACTCCGCAGAGTGGCCCCTGTGGACCCGTTGAACGGGGGTTGTCTTTGTCCCCTGCACCCGGGAGCAGAGTAGTCCGCAGCGGACAAAGTAGGCTTAGGCCAAAGTTATTTGCCAAGACTTGCCGAGGTATTGATTTCTAAGCTGGCTTATGCCTTTGCGTGACCACAGCGGTCAAAGCTGCCAGCCATTTTGGCGGCCGAAGCTTGTTGAAGACTCGTTGGAGTGTGTCGGGACCTTAGAGTGAATTCCTTCCCAAACTATCCCCACTCCTCTCGCCATGCCACCATCTCCTGCTTGTAGGTTCAATTTTCACCCAACCTTACCCTTGTCCGGAGCTTAATTGAAAAGGAACGCCTCCCTTCGGGGAGGCATGTGTGTGTGTGTTACCTTTGGAGTCACAAGGTTCCTTTTGGATTGATTCCTTTTTCAGCAGGGGGCATGCGGCCATCGCGCAAACGCATGCCAACGAAGCTGTGCGTGATGGTGGAAGCCAGGTCTGATCAACCTGGTGCACCTGCTTTTGAGAACCTAAGTATAGCAAAAGCTGTCCAATACATTGTTTCTGCAGATCGTGTTTTTGCGGCAAGTCATTTCGGTTTTGCTCTGGAGGCATTGAAGGTTTCGTGGAGTCATTCAGTTTTGTAACTCACCTGAACCCTTAGGCACTTGGCTACCTAGGTTGCCGTACCTAGGTTGCCGTGCGGCGAGCGGCATTCGAGTCAGCACGCATAATCTTAAGTGTACGTGCGTGCGCGTGCTTTCTCAACATTTCAGTGGCGGCTCAAAGGTTCTTGCAAAAAGGACCACACAAACATGTTGTGAGCACTCTCGGCCACAGTCATGAAGAAAAAGCACCGGCTTTGCGCAGTAAGATGCAAATCCAAGAATCTCGACCTCTGTGAGGTTGTTGTAAACGTTGTCTGTCTGCATGTCACACCAAGTATCACAGCGAGGACGGCACAGGAGGCAGTGTTTCTCATCTTTCTCCGTGCAGGCGCCATGCTCAAATCTTTGGAGCTGGCGAGATGTGCAAAACCAAAGTGTTTTGACAGGATCACTTTGTAGCTCCTGAATGCAGCGTTGCACACTTTGGCATACAAAGTTAGGCAAGAAACGTGGATTTTTCCATGCGTTGTTTAAATTCCAGAGGTCCAACTGGGAACGCAGCATGTGAATGTTCTTTGGGCCTTATGCAAAGGATCACGGACTAACACATCCAGAAAAGCTCCCGCGTGTGCATTGGTCATCTTTGGCCTGCTGAAAAAGACTTAGAATCTAAATGTACCTGTAACTGTAGGTTTACCAATTGATTAGTCAAAAGGGCTCACCAATGGTCCACAACAAAGTTGCAATCACCTTGGTTGGGCGATTGCCCTGAAGAGCCCCAATGCTATGCCGAGTTCAACGACTAAGCAGCAGTAGCGCAAGCGTTCTGTGGATTACAGCTGTGTACAGTATCCTCTTAACACTGGAAGGAGAAATCCGAACCGGTCCTACACTTTGGCCTAAACCCTTATTAGACCCTGTCATGCCAGCAGGAAACATCAGCAACGGCAACAGTTGGGATCATAGCCCCGAAAATAGAGAACGCAAGGTTGTCCAGCAATGTCCAGCACATACGGTCACAATAATCATCAAAGAATCATTGAACTCAGTCATACTCAGTCTAATGACACGTACTGTGGCCACGTTTCATTTGGAAAATTATGCCTATCATGGACCCCAAATCATTTCTGGGCAAAGCGCACACTGCCATAAACGTCTGGCAGTGGCACCCTGCAGCAGCACACCGCAGCTCCCTGCAGCGGCAGAAGCACGCAGTCTCCAAAGCGCACACGGCCATGCACATCTGGCAGCAGCACCAGCACCCAAGCTCCAAAGCACACACACACACCTCTTCCTATACTTAAAGTAAGAACCCCAATAACTCGCTACACAAAAGGAATCGATCATAAAGCGTCACCCTGCGGTCAGATGGCCACCAGCAATCTACACCCAGAACATCTGCCGCACTGGTCCCGTGGGTGGCTCCAAACGCCTCCAGCTCGTTGAGCTCTGTCGAGCTCCGCAACCCAGTGACCCACACCTCGGTGCGCGCAGCGCGCCGAAAAAAGAAAGGACGGGAAGAAACCTAATAGCGATGGCCTCCAACCTTAAAGAGCAATGGCCTCCACCCGAGCAGTGATCGCCTCCAACCTAATAGCAATGGCTTCCAACGTAATAGAGGAAGAGACCTGTGAAGCCCGTTTGATGCCAAGAAAACGCTTGCGTTTGCTTTTGCAGAATGCATTTGAGTGCATCCTCTCTGAAGATGGTGCCACCATGTACTACCATGTGCCACATGCAGCTTGCCATTGACATGGGGGGGCATTGCAGGAGATCAAAAGGATTTGACGGATTTAATTAATGCGTTCCACTTTACGCCACCATGGATTGCAAGTCATGTTTGAGTTTGCTTTCAGGGTCTCTCCCTTTGAAGGATGTGCAAAGCCTGCGCAGCGGATCATTTAATGGCGCCGAGGTCAGGCGCCAGCGCCACTCACTCGATGCTTCCAATTGTGTCTTCCACCAAAAAGGGCCCGTTCACCATGAGCCCCCTTTGCCAGGGCAAATGTTCCCAGATCGCGCCGAAGGCAACTAATTGCTTAGAACAACACATTTGGGGGTTGTTCAAAATACCTTTTCCAGACAACTATCCTTGCGCCAGCCTTGGGCGAATCTTGCGCGAACACAGTAAAACTACATGTTCTATTCAAATAAAGTGTTTGTTTACCAGTTTTCGTGGGTGTGTATGTGTATGTAAACCGCTGTCACAGGCGGAGAGTTTACAAACCACAGGGCAGGGGGCTAGCGACCCATTTCTCGACCTTAGTGTGTGTGTTTGTTTGCTGCATTGCAGCTTCTCTTCTTTTTTCAA